TCTCTTTTAGTAGCTGTTTTAAAGGGCTGTTAAAATATTGGTAGTTGTCTTTCCAGCACTTTGCTGACACTGCAAATTTTCGGGTCAGCTTTTGAAATTCCGATATCACAATAAGCGAGCTATTGAGACCTGTCAGTCTCTAGTACACTTACTCCCTTTTTCACCCTGATTTACTTACCAGATTCTTAAAAACCATTAAATGTCTGATCGCTGTACTTTCCTTAAACAGTTCCAAATGTTACAGCACAAACCATTTAGAAAAAAGATCTCAGTCTGCGGTGCTCCCTTATCGAGGAGAACATGTTTATTTTACTGGGCTGCTGTAGGCAGCCAGTTCTTTAGATCTGGATTGAATTATATCCTCAGAGAGGTCCCTTGGAGTGACCTCTGAGAACACACAATAGAGTGGAGAAGATACAAGGGACACCCATTCTGAGCTCATTGACATGTGGTTTGGATATGTAACAAAAGATGTCCTGTTTTTTAACAGATCTGCAATGTTTACTTAACACACAAACAAACGGGCGACAACAACAGTTTCCGTCCAACGTCTGAACATGAAGACAGATCAATATAGCAGTAAGCATCCAAAATGGATGAGCCTGAAAGTGGTGAACAGTGCATTACTCAGGCTGTGAAGTTCTAGCAGGTTTAAGTGGCACTTCTCCTCTGTAGGCTATGTGTTTTATAATTTGGCTTTTCTGTTCCTGTTCTTCAGAGACCCCCTTCTGATTTTGGTCCACCTGAGCTTAGCTGAACTAGAAATTTACAACATGAGAACATAAGTAAGATGGCAAATGAGAGGATGCCATTTTACTCATTGGGATGCACCTCATAATCTATTCAAGGATCTTATATCAACAATATCTTAATGTTAGAATTACTGAAGAAACATTCATGAATACATGGCTGTGCAGTTTGTTTCAGACCCTTCAGCCTTCTGTTTAGAGAAGCAATTCCTGATTTCAGTCCTGAATTCTCCCTCTTAATTTCCACTTGTGTCTTCCAGTCTCTTGTTTGGCTGTCGGTCCTGAAGTAGCCCTTGACCATGTCAATGCCTTCTGGGATATAAAATAGGGTCTATTTAATTCATTAAAAGCCCTGAAATCGTTGGGAATTTCAAGCTACCTGTCAAATCTGTGAAGGCAATTTGAATGATTTTAATTCACAAGAACATATGAAAGGTTACAAGCAAGAGAAGGCCAATTCAAACCCTCTGGCCCATTTGATAGTTCAGTAGCTTAGTGGCCAAAGATCGTCTCCAGTCATCTGCTACTTTATGAAAAGCTGGAAAAAAGAACACCAAGTCTTCAATTGAGGTTTTAATTAATTAAGTTAAGTTTAAAGTTGGAAAGTTCAGTTGGAAACTAGAAGAAGACTTCTTTATTGGACACTGCTTCTCTCTGTGAAATGCCTTGAAAAAGCCTTTAATGAGGTGACACTAGCCTTATGTTTTTTTGGTTGACTTTGCAACACCAAAAGCGAGTAAAGAGGCTTCACTATACTTCTGTTATGGTTCCAGCAAGCCAGAGTCTGCTCCTGAAGTATTAGGAGCTAGGCAGGACAAAAATACTCTTGTCCTGGATCAGGACTCCAGTCTTTCACAATGAAACCTGGCCTGAGAACATGATCACAACATGCAAGCTCCACACAGACAGACATACAAACTCAGAATCAAGCCCAGGACCCTTGCCTTACCATTCAAATGAAGTGTAAAGTCATATAATAAATACTGTATTGTCTGTTTTTTTTAAAAAAAAAGATTGATTTGTTATTAAAAACTAAAAATTATCTTTACCGTACATAAAATGTAACATTGAGGATCTTTCTGTTCTGTTTTAAAGAATAAAATTATTTCTACTCTTGAATTGTGCTCATTTTGAATTATGACGATGTGATATATATACAGTTGCAAATCGTCGACTTGGTTTAATGTGAAGCGATGCAAACACAGACCTACTTGTTCTGCAAGCCGAGGGGGTGCCCTACAGAAGCACGGTGATACTGCCCTCTAGGGGAATATTTATGGCAAATAAGTTATATCTTCATTATTTCAACAAAAGTCCACCTAAATGTTTAATCGTACATTGTCCAATTTCTAATCTCGATTCACTTTCTGTTATTAAGTCTAGTAAGAGCTTGCTATATTAATTCAAACACCACTATTTTTTAAAATACAGAAACATAAAAGAAAAGTGTTGGTTTTATTTATTGAGCCCTATACAACAAACGAGGTTTCAGCAATATATCGGAAACGCATCTTCAGAATCCCAAATTTCAAATATAAATAGATGAAACGAGCAAATAGTTAAAATGTCAGACTAAACAGAGAAAATAAAAATGCTTGAAACCAATCTGTATGTACAATAGGCATTTGATTTTATATTATTTAACGTCTGTTAAATACGCAAAAATTACGGGAAGATCTATAGTTTAATGTAGTTTAATTTGTTGCTTTGTGACTATGATTGATAAAATAAACCTAAGCACTAAAATATTAACTGAGATTCACTGAGCATCTTGCCTAATGTGTTGATCTGGTGTGACACAAATGATAGAATCCAACGTCACTCACCTGGTACAACCCTTGAATTCCAGCATTTTCTCAGTTACACCGCTACATAGAAGCCAGCATCCACCAGCTGTGCTTCAATGAGTGAGGTCATTTGAGAGAAACTGTTCCCCATTCCACAGATTAATGACGATTAGTGATTGTAAAGCAAGCAAGGATAATTTCAGAACGAATCATTGTGATTACCAAATACTCCCGTCTGTCTATATATACCATATTCTAAAAACTTTAGGATGATTGTGAATAAAACGTGATAGGAAATGTAATGTTTTACATTAACACAGTATGTTGGAATTATTTAAACTCAAAAGGTCTGAATTACAGATATACAGCTGATATTATGCTGTAATAATTAATTGAAATGAATTCCGTAATAAATACAAATTCCCTGTTACTGTCTTAGCTGTCCCAGAAACAGGTACAATACATGAACAAACTGTGATCAATTTCCACTGTTCGCCAACTCTAGACGCTCTGTGTTTCGGTGTGTCCCTCAGGCTTATTTTAGCCTCTCAAATTGTGGGCTCCAAGCCGCAGTGACGCGCAATTCCTCCCAAACCCACTAGGTGGAGAACAGACCGGTCCACCCACTGGAATCACATGACAATAATTGTTATGTAATGGTCTACATTACAGGAGTCATTGAAAGTGAGGGGTGGGGAGATTATACTCCCACGTGTACGTATGAATTATAAATTACAATGAGACGAAACATGACAATAATAGTAAATACGACATTTTTATTTCCTTCATTTAAATCCGCAAACATTTAAAATCTAAAATTAGCTGAAATTGGTGGCCTGGTTGTTTCTATTAAGTATATCATGTATATATACTTGATATACTTAATAGGACACCTGAAGAAGGCTCCACAGCCGAAACGTTCTGTTCTCTTTCTTCTTTTTTTCAGCATGGAATAAACCTATTACTTGTTCCTTTGCAGCCTACGCATGCTGACGCAGCTACCCACCTGAACTATCATGTGTATATATATAATCTATACTTCAACTGTCTCCTTAAATACGCAGGAGCTCAGCAGTCATTTGAGAAAGGTGTAATTTTGCTCATTGGAAGACTGCAGAGGTCACACATGTAGGACACACACCCTGTATTGAGCACCAGTCTTCAATGCGGCCTTGTCTGACGGGAGAGGAGGAGAAGGGGGCAAGAAATACCAGAGGAACAAGCGCAGGGGCTAGGAAACAGAAGTGACGCGGCGTTCTGTCTTGTTTCCTCTCAGCAGCTGGGAGAGAGGACAACACAGCCCCCCCAGGCCAGAGTGAGGAGATGAGAGTGCCCATTGTGGAGTGAGAGGAGGGGGAAACAGTCTGCCTGCGAGCAAGATCAGAAAGGGCGATACCATTCACGTCTAAGGAGGGGGGCGCAGTGGATACTTTATCACAGGCACACATGCGGTCTTTTCCTTTCCAGCGTAGGTGTGGAAAGCAATAGCTTTGAGTTGTCTGTTAAGCACTGATATATAAAATGGATTATTAGTAGTTGTAGCAATATATCATTACTATCATCATCATTAATAGTGCATAACCAAAAATACACATGTGAAATACACTCAAGAACGTGCTTAACTTTATTTGATTATGTATTAGAACACCAACATTATAGGTACCTTCCTTGCATTGCTCACAGAATTACTATTATTTAGGTCAGCTTGGGCAGCCTATTCCCTTACTGAGCATCGTTTTAAAGAGCAACTGCAACAATTTAACAAAGGTCGTGTCTTAGAAAGTTTCTAAATGATCACAATATCTGAGAAAACAAGCCCCAGAATGCGTATGTGTGCTTATTATTGACAGGGTGGCCACAGTAAAGCAGATGTGTCTAGACAAGGTTATTTCAGGACACAGGAAGTGACAGAAAGTGCTGCTCTCTGAGAGCAGCTCAGACACACTGGGCTGACAATCTGAAGATAGCAGGAGCTGGAAATCTAGAGAAGAAATCTTGTCACCTTTTTCCTTACCTGTCCATAACCGGGGTTTCCACAGTACGTGACAAACGTTATGAAAACCAAAGTCGTTCACTGCAAATGTATAACAGCCTTCAATTTGATGGGAACTGGCTGGCCCCTGAGAAAATGTATTTTGCTTCCCGGAGTAAGGAGACAAAACAGTCGTTGCTTTGTCGTGCTAAAAAAAAACTGCACACAATATTTAGAACTGGGACCTTAACACTACCAGATTGCATTTACTCTAATCTTTTGTCTTACAGATGTGTCCCCCATATTCCTGTTTCATTTTTTTGCCTTTTGTT